ATTTATCCATCTCGATCAACAACTACACATGAATGTCTGATCATCTGATTAGTCAGCTGAGTTTTGTTTATAATGTTTGTTTATTTCACGTTGCTAGGATACATAACTCACGGCGCATGCGCAAAGTCGCTAATCATGCATAAATGAATTTTAATGAATTACACACTTTGTCCGTGGTGAAGTCGTAATGCCTACCGTCTCTGCTCCTTGAACTCCTTTACATCGCTGCTATTATCCAGCTCACCCATGCAAAGACTTCACCTAGATTTGGTGGACCGGTTATGGGAAAGATGCTCCTGGTTTGTACGGATGCACACTCTMAGTTGCCAGAGATTGTAATCATGAAAGATACAACCACAGAGGAGACGGTGCCGGAAACACAGCTGCGTTCTATCTTGGCTAGAATGGTCCTTCCTAAACAGATTGTTTCTGATGGMAATGGTCCACAGTTCACTTCGAGTACTTTCGCCCAAGAGGTTTTCTGAAGAACATTGAATACGACACATCATGGGTGCACCTTACCACCACCTGTACAAATGGTTTGACCCAACGATCTGTCCGGAGTTGTTTCAAACATGCACTGAAGTCCGGCAAGTCTGATCGATCAATACAGCACAACCTGGAAAGGTCATTGCTCGCTTATCTAACAGCACATCATGCCACTCCAGACGCTATAGGCAACACGGAGTCAGAGGCTAGCCCCCCTTCAAATAATTTAGGCGCCATTTTCAGAACATTTGTCTAATTTATCTGTCGCTTTCGAAAGCTGTCCAGTCCCGATTTAGCCTCGCCACAGTAAAAATTATACTCTGCGGTGCCTGCATTACCACCACTTTGGACGGAACAACTTGAGAACAAGACAGGACCTCCTGATGGAGAATCTTAAGAAGAGGGTGGACGGAAAAGCTCCTTCAGAATGAAAGTAAACAGCTTACCGTAATGTCGACGGATCAGAAAGTGTGGATTAGGAACTATCATTCTGGTCCAAAATGGGTGAGTGGAACTATGATAGAGCCGCAAGGTCCTCTACTTTACGAAGAAGAAACCTCAAACAACCAAACTTAGCAACGTCACATWGAGCAACTGAGAACTTGCGAGTCAACCGACCTACCATCTGCTGTGAGAGAAAACGAACAACTGTAGACGAGCTTTTCACTTCCACCAAAACAAATTGCAAATACATCGTTATCGATCAACCTATTCAATAGCAATTATATATTATAAATCATTTTTAACTCTAAGATTGCGTTAGCAATCGAAGAGTTATTGTGGGCGAACGATCTGTCACTAACTAAGTCACTCACTCACTCACTCACTTTCCAGTGAAATGCGTTGTYGCCTTATAACTGCTATTTTTTGACTGCTATTTTTTGACTTATTAATTTTTAATTATTCATTTTTACAGTCTACCTGTTTCTTTCGAAGAGAAAGAAACTCGTGTACTCGATGTGGCTCGAACCCCCGAACTCTCGCTTCAACGAAAGAGAACAGAGACACTACCACTAGACCATGTGCGCATTAGACATTATGTCATGGCTGTTTTACTAGCTTTTATCCGACACGAGATCAAACCATGGGTTTCCTGTGTCATAATYGATAAAAACTACTTCTCTAGGGCTACGAGGACCGAAATATAATGTCGTTATAAGATTCTATTCTTTTGCGTAAAATGTACAAATTGAAAGAAGTTTTTAATACGGTTTCCGCTTCGAGTGTGTGTCGACAGTTAGAAAGATTCAGTGAAACGGATCCAGGGAAACGTAAGCTTACATGAAGCTTCTCWACCCTAAATTGTTGTTGATAAACGTCTCGGCCGAATTTGACCATTTAAAAACTTACGTAGAAAACAAGATTTCAAGCAAATGGTTGTGAATATGCATGCCCTTCGGATCTTCAAATAAGCTATGAAATTTAAGTGCTGAAATTTACTATTTTGTGTATAATTATRATTTGACTCGTTGTCATACGTTGTTCAGAMTCACAACGGAAGCGTGAGGAAGACTCGCCGATCCGACTAATTCGTTTCGAAAACCACTTTACGTATGTTTTATTTATTCATGTTAGTCTACAATTCAAAAAATGTATTCACTCTCTAACGTACTATACATTGTAATATTTGATATATAGTTTATTGTGTGGTTAGATATCGAAAATACTTTCCGCTACGGAAACTGACAAACACTCGTAGTACAATGATGCCGTACAGTTGGTCAGGATTCAATCGAACCAACTTTCATTTAATTCACCGTTACATAGTAAGCATTCTTAAAAGAATTGCTGGGGAAAATAATTTATAATAAAAAAAGAAATAAAAAAGAGATTATTTCCTGGGACTMGAACCGGGACCGTCTGCACTCAAAGACCACGTTTTATCCTCTGAGCTACGATTGCAAATTATTTAATCAAATGGCTAAGACTGKCATTTATTTCGTCGACGCTCGCTAGCCTCCGTAAGCACGAGAATCGAACCGCTTGGGATGTCTGCTTTAAGGAGGCAACTTATCCATAACAGAAGTTAAAATAATAAGATTTTAACGAAAAAAAATTATTCGTAAATCGTTTACTTAAAATATACTTGATTCATTGTTCCGAATTCGTCTATAAAATTAATCTTCGAGTTATATGTTGCCGTCGGCAGCTAGATTTTTTGTGTCCGCAGTTGTATTCTGCGCGTTTCAGCATATCCCTTTTCTAATGAAACTGTAAGTACTATTTTATAGGCGTGCCTCCATTACAAGAGTTAATCACAAATATCTACAATTGTGCAGCATTTGAAATCCTTCCCGAAAGAAATACCTCATTTTATGTCAATTTTAAGGTAAGATAAATTCGTGGGTTAATGAATTGTTTTCGAAGCGGGGCAAAGATCGGGGATTTTAACGCGTTTTGAACATGTATGAGGCTGGAAACTAGAGGTCGACCATCTAATCTTGAGAAATCYCYKGGAAGCATTGGTATTCAACCCTGTTTTTTTATTTTTTTATTTTTCCTTGCATGAAATTGTTTTTTGTATCATAGAAAATTTGATTGAAAGATGTTTGTATTGTTATTTACAAATAGACCAAAATAGCAAGGCAACAGYAGCTGAGGATATTAACAATGAATGTCCCCCCRACTACCGGGGGAAATGTTCCATTTTAACACCACTCAAACGTTAAATTTCATTTTAATTTAATTTTAATTTTTTAATTTCCCGGGGGTCGAGGTCGGGGGTTTCAATTGACCAGTTCATTATAACCTTTGCAATAGCTTTTGGAATTATCGCTTTTAGGAAACGTCTGGGAAATGCGTACCTTTTTTAGCATGAGATTTTGGCTTACAAAACACAGCAGAATTTATAGTGTTTATCAAATTAAAGTGCAGCTGGCTATAAAAATTGAGATTCGAATACTTTGCAATTTTACTGCTAACATACAGGGGCTTATCCAGGCAAAATTTAACATGTATAACATGACCAAAAATACTTTTTTATTTCAACGGAGAGGTACATATTCAGTAACACTTAATGACTGTTCCCAAGGGAAACGGTTAGTTTTGTTTCCCGAGAATCTCAATGTTTCCCGAGGTACGCCGAGCTTTGTTATATTGGTAAATTATGTGAATAAAAAAAATCAAAACACATTGCAAGATGATTCTCAATAATCATGAATAATACTTTATTGTAAATATAATTTTTTACCGTCGCGACAAAATAGCAAGATGTTAAGCGTTTAAATTACATTGTGCTTGAAAATAAAACTAATATAAATATACAAATGCCAAAAAACTAGCAAAAATTTATGAATGAAACAGTCAATGAGTTCCTGAATAGAAATTTAATTTTAAATTTAATTTGTCCAAATTCACCGTTCCTCTCTTGGTTTCTCTGCAGAATTCTATCAGAGTCGTAGCCTGTTTGAGCCGGCTAAAGAGAAAACCGACAACTTTTCCTTGAACTTCGTTTATTGCCTTCTTTCTCTTACATACAAACGTGCCAGACAAGGGATTACAAATTTTCTCCCCACTAGGGAAGGGGAGGGGGGTTCAATAATCTAAAGGTCCAGTCTTTTTGRAGCCTTTGATGCTCTCCCACTTCTAGTACGGACCGGAACATTTTACCCACCTTGTCCCTTATGTTTAGGGACAACATCTAACGCATCTGTACTTTGAACATAATTAATATGTGGTTCCCCACCGTCCTTTCGCTGCTGCCACGAACTTGTTTCAACTTCTAACTTGTGTAAACGTTGGATTGGTCTGTTGAAAACACCTCTTTGTGTTTTGACGGTTGCTGTGCGAATAAGACCGTCCTTTCCTTTATGAACCATTTCAACTTTAGCTAGTGCCCAATTGACTCGAGTAACATTGTCCTCTGAAATCCTTCTTTGAACCACTTGTTTCTAACATTGAGCTGATGAAGATATTCTTTCTGCCAACGTCCCCAGTATTGATTCAGTGATCTAAGTAGGTACAAATATCTTCCAATAGCTTTATTACTTGGGTCCTTTGAGTGATCTTCTAGATCTTTTGGTATGCTTTGGAGTGGTCGTCCAATGGCCAGATGAGCTGAGCTGGAGTAATAGGTACCAGATCTCTTGGGTCATCGCTGACAGCAGTTAAAGGTCGAGAATTTACAACACTTTCTATCTTGATAAGCAACGTATTCAACTCGGAATAAGTCAGGAGGGCTTTACCAAGAATCTTCCGTAGTGGTTCTTTAACTGATCTGACAATCCGTTCCCACCAGCCACCGCGCCAGGGGGATCGCTCCGTTATAAACTTCCACTTTATACCTCTGGCAGACATCTCTGATTTGATGCTGTCTTGATCCATCATGTCTGTAGGAAGTCTACATTCGACTTTATTATTGTTGTATAGTTTCTTGAGTTGTTTACTTGCGGACTTGAACGTCTTCGCGTTGTCTGACCATATCGTGTTACAAAGACCTCTACGACCTGTCATACGGGCAAACGCTTGAAGAAATTCATCTGTAGTTAAGCTAAGGGTTAGTTCAAGGCGAATCATACGGGATGATGCACAGGTAAAAATGCAAACATAAGACTTCTTTGTATCGGAGCCCTCTTTGATGTAAAGAGGATATGCGTGAACGGTAACGATGGCGTGACTCTTTCTGCTGGTAAGGGTCCCATTTTCTGCGCACAGGCTTTGACTTTCTGCTTTTGGCATATAACGCATCGTCTGATGATACGTTTAACTTCTCTTCTTCCTTGAGCGAGCCAGAACGTTTGTCTTAGAGATGACAACACTGCTTCTGGTCCAGCGTGCAATAAATGTTTATGCGTGTCTATTACAATCTTCTCGACGACTAGGTGTCCATGTGGAAGTATTACAGGGTGCTTTGCGTTTTCAGGGATCTCAGCAAATTGCAAACGTCCTCCCACCTTTATCAGCTCATCTTCTTTGTCGAAGTACGGGTCTAATTTGAGTATGTGACTGTTGTTGGGAATAGTACCTCCAGTATTTAACAAGTTGTGCTCTGATTGGTAAGTTTCCTGTTGAATCCATCTGATGCACTGCAACTCTGCCTTGTTAAGTTCGTCCACTGTTGGCTCTGTCTGTGATGGCTTGTTCTTTGTCTTAAATACATGTATGGCTATTTGAACGTATGYCGTTACGCGCTTTACCTTCAACCATGAGTTATATCGGGTCATGTCAAGTGACGGCTTGGATACAACAGCTGCATGGGTATGAACCGCACGCCTTTCTTTATCACACTCCTCGGGCATCTGCCGACCAAGATCCCTCAGCACTTGAGGGGGCGTCCCGTCCGGCCGACTCAGCCACGCAGGCCCCTTCCACCACAGCCCACTCCTGGCCATCTCAGAGCAGGAAATCCCACGCGTCAATAGATCTGCTGGGTTGTCTTTTGTCGGGCAGTATTTCCAGCATTTAGGTTCACAGAGTTCCTGTATTTCTGCTACACGATTTGCTACAAATGGTTTCCATAGTGCGCTGTTTTGTCTAATCCAATGAAGTGCGACCATGCTGTCGCTGTAGCATACAATCCGATTTGAATTTACTGACAGTGTTTCTGCGACGTATGTCACTAATCTTGCATTAACTACTGCGGCTAGTAGCTCCAGTCGAGGTAATGATACTGTTTTTGCCGGTGCTACTCTTGATTTAGACATTACAAGCTGTGTAGTGATGTTTCCACTTTCATTTGTGATGCGAATGTACACAGCAGCTCCGTAAGCCTTCGGTGATGCATCTCCAAAGCCGTGTACTTCAACTTCTGAGTCTCGCACCAATCCTTCTCCGAAGCAGCGAGGAATKGTGACGTTAGATAACTTTGACAGCTCTGATTGCCATGCAGACCATTCTCTTTGAATGTCGTCTTCTAATGGATCGTCCCAATCTAGACCTCTACGCCAGAGTTCCTGGAATAGTAACTTAACCCTGACAGTGAACGGAGTAATCAATCCTAATGGATCGAACACTMTAGCAGCGTGACTGAGCACAGTTCGTTTCGTAGGTGAAACATAGCCTCCTCCACAGGCAACTCTTTTTTCCTCCTTTGGGCTTCCTTTGTAACGGTCATTTTGGCCGTTAGGGACTAGTGACGAGATAGCAAAATCCCCTTTTCTCGCCCCCATTCTCCCTCTTTTGACTCCTCAAAAAGACAGGAAGACCGTGATTCTTAGTGATGCCTGCGGAGGAGGCTAGGTGAAACACTAGACGTAGTTACTTCTTGTGGCGGCACAAATCTAAAGCAATCTGACTTCAAGTCCCATGAGACACCAAGTGCTTTCGTTGATTCAGCTTGCGTTGTGAGATTGACGATGGACGAGGATTCCTTCTGCTCAGATTGGGTGCTGTCCAACACTTGTTGCGAGTTACTTGCCCATTTCGTTAGGTTAAATCCTGCAGCCTTCATTATAGTTGTCAATTCATTCTTCAATTTTAGTGCAGATTCATCTGTTTCTGCTACTGTCAAACAGTCATCCACATACATATTGTCTAAGAGTTCTCTTGCAGCTCTTGGGCATGTGTGAAGATAACCAGTAACGTGTGCATGGATTGTTGCAATTGCGAGAAATGGGCTACAGTTAAGTCCAAATGTCAGTCTCTTCATTCTTTATATGCGAGGTTCTTCATCCGAGTTCANTCCCGAAAAAAGACAGGAAGACCGTGATTCTTAGTGATGCCTGCGGAGGAGGCTAGGTGAAACACTAGACGTAGTTACTTCTTGTGGCGGCACAAATCTAAAGCAATCTGACTTCAAGTCCCATGAGACACCAAGTGCTTTCGTTGATTCAGCTTGCGTTGTGAGATTGACGATGGACGAGGATTCCTTCTGCTCAGATTGGGTGCTGTCCAACACTTGTTGCGAGTTACTTGCCCATTTCGTTAGGTTAAATCCTGCAGCCTTCATTATAGTTGTCAATTCATTCTTCAATTTTAGTGCAGATTCATCTGTTTCTGCTMCTGTCAAACAGTCATCCACATACATATTGTCTAAGAGTTCTCTTGCAGCTCTTGGGCATGTGTGAAGATAACCAGTAACGTGTGCATGGATTGTTGCAATTGCGAGAAATGGGCTACAGTTAAGTCCAAATGTCAGTCTCTTCATTCTTTATATGCGAGGTTCTTCATCCGAGTTCAAGTTTCTCCATAAGTAACGGTGTACATCTTGATCGGGCTTTGCGACTTTAATTTGCAGAAAAATCTTTTCAATGTMCGCAAGTAGACCGATCTTGTGTGTACGGAAGCGTACGAGAACTGACGCTAGATTTGGTTGTAGGGCGGGGCCAGGCAGAATACAATCRWTGAGAGACACATCTTGTTCATCCTTTGCTGAGGCATCGAAGACGATCCTACATTTAGTTGTAGTCTTATCATCACGAAATACTGCATGGTGTGGTAGGTATCTGWSSTTCTTRCGGTTGCTTTCTTTGTCAGGCACTTCTTCTGCAAACCCCTTTTCGACGTACTGATTGATTGCATCTGAATATGCTTTAGCTTTCACAGGATCACGATGCAGTTTCCTTTCAACTCCTTCTAGTCGTTTCAAGGCTTGCTGGTAGTTGTTTGTCAATTTTGCATGATTTGGTTTCCATGGCAACTGTACTTCGTACTTAGATCCATCAAATTTCAATCCACGGTTAAAATTTTCGACTGCGCATTGTTCTTCTTTAGATTGTCTCTGACACTCATCCGATGCAATTCCGATTGCTTCTAGCTCCCAAAATCGTTTCAATGTTCGAGTGATTTCAGTGTTCTCAACAACAGCAAACATTGAAGTAGTACTTCCGCTTGCGCTTGCTACAGGACCTGTAAGTATCC